GTGCTATTTATAAACGGTTGTTTGCCAGTTTTGATTCTAAAGGAAAAAAATACAGCCTGATGATGGTGACTGAAGTCTTTGAAAGTAGTAGCTGAATTAAAAAAATGAACCATATCCATTTTATACATAAGGATCTCATCATTCAGTGGATTATTAGTAGTATAATAATTATAATTATGTATACTAGCGTAGGATTTATTATCGAACTGTTTTTTAAAATTGTTCCATCCTTCTGATATTTTGAAATCATTTTTGATTTGCTTTGTAACGTGGAGGACTTCAAGCTTGTATGAAGATATAAGAACCTATTGATCTCTGCGTATTCCTATATCAACGGAAGGGATTTCTTGAACTGTTTATATAAAATAGGTCAATCGACTTTTTTAATATTTTAATATTTGGAAATCATCTTCGAATACGTTTTCACAACATCGCCCACGTGACGACGACGTGATCATATTTAAACGGAACGCTGATCTTATATAAAAATTTCAGTTATCTGTTTGGATTAGTTGTGCACTTATGTCCATCGTCTTTTCGTGTTGAATTTTTATATGTTCTAATGTTAATTATGTTTAAATGAAAATGTCCTGAAGATGGTCTAAAATAGACCGAAACGTCCGACGTTGACTTTATATTAACATTAATACAGCATAATTGCATATTAAGATTTTTGTTTGTTTTTTCTGTTATTTTTCTTCATATATATATATATATATATATATATATATATATATATATATATTCTGAGAAAAAGTGAAAAGCTTTCAAAGACAACGCGTTTTGCCTTCGTGTGTTGGGTTGCCGTCGTCAGGTCAGAAAGCAAGACAAAACTGTTTTTCTTTGTTTTTTAATTAATGTCGGTTTGCGGGTTTAGCGTCATCTGGTCGGAATCAAATAACAAAAAGGCGAGTTGAAAAGAGATTAACAAAGTTTTATTAGGAATTGAAATTTTTGAATTTGTAGATCTGATGAATTGGATCGTGATTATGATTCCAATGTAATAAAATATAACCATGGAATATTTGTGTTTGAGCCTTTCATATTATATTCTTACTCTAGATATTGAGTTCTACATGGATTCTATCCTCTTAGGAATTTATATATATATATATATATATATATATATATATATATAATTATTTATTTAAAAATATGATTCCAAAACGCTACATAAGAAGTCTAATGTTTCAAAACAGGAGCCGAAAACTTCAGTATAATTATTTAAATTAAATTGAGTTAAAATAAGCTCTGTTCCATCTTCAAGCGAAATTTTTTTTTGGAATAACGTATATCTGAAATTTACGTGTTTTAAAAATTGAAATCAAAATTTCCATGGTAACAGCTAGGGCGAATTGTTTAAATTGGGTGTTAATGTGTTGGGTGTTAATAATAAGTATGAGTATAGAGTTACTTTGATAGATGTCAAGTCAGGGAAAGGTGGGGGGTGTCTAAATTTTAAACGGAAGATGTATTAACCCTCGTCTAGTTTGCATGTCTATGGAGATTTATTTATTTTTTTATTTTATTTTTTTATGAAAGAGATTTGTGCATCTAAAAAAAAAACTGTCGTAACGTTTGTTTTTGACGCCTCAAAAACAAACGTTACGACAGTTTTTTTATATGCAATATAATATATTGGAATCATATTTTTAAATAAATAATTATATTTATGCTCTACTTTTGTATCGAGCACTATTTTTAAAAAAATAATAACTAAAATACTAAGGACTTTGGATTATTTACATAACCAGTTCCTTCTTATTTTCTATATATTTTACATATATATATATATATATATATATATATATATATATATATATATATATATATATATATATATATATATATATATATAATGATCACTAATATTATCATATATATATATATATATATATATATATATATATATATATATATATATATGTATGTATATGTAAGTGTGTGTATTTATGCAAATAAACATATGTATAAAAACATTAACAGAAGAATCGTTTATGAATCGATCATAAACGAAAATGACATGTTCATCATTAATTGATCATTGCTAAGGATCGGAACCTCATGAAGGATTGAAATAACGTTCAAATATATATTAATTAAGCTCAATTATATATATATATATATATATATATATATATTATTTTCGGAGTAACAACTTGCTTTACAGTTTTCAACGTACTTATCGATTAAGTTGGATCTTTTCTAATTGATCTTTTTAGGTCTAAGTTAAAATAATTATCTCTTTTCCTGTTGTGACCTCCTGATTGACTTTTACTCTCTACTGTTCCCCTTGTTTTAAAATTATTCACCGTTCTGCCCATGTTTCTTAAATAGGCTTTGAAAAAGGAAGTCATGGTATGAATGTTGGTATCATTACTGAAGGCCTGAATGATCTTTTTCCTAGCACTATTGCTCAGTTGGGAACATATGTTGTCTGACACCAAACAATTTTAACATGTTCTCTTTCTAGCTGAATAACTCAAAGGTTTTTTTTTTTTACGAAAAATGGTGTCAATATGTTTAAACGTCCTATCTGAAAACCAGGAAAAAACTCAATTTGCTTAATGTTTCTTTTAGATATTAAACTGTACAATTATGCTGTTACATCATTTGGAGAATTTTGATGTTACTCTCGGTATATTGAAGCAATCGGACGTCTAGCCACACTGAAGAGCTGTGATACAGCGAAACAGTCTGTGGATGACTATATATATATATATATATATATATATATATATATATATATATATATATATATATATTTTTTTATAAGCGTTTCCCCACAAGCAAGGCGGGAAGCCACTAGGACGCAAGGGGTTACAGAAAATTTGGAGCAAGATCAGATAGGAGTGATAGAGGAAATGATGAGGAGAAGGGTAGTGGATAGATCAAGGAAACTCGAGATGTCGATTGACATTACATTTGAATAGCTGGAGATTATAGCTCTCAGGAAAACTGGAATAGGGAAGGAAGTTCCACAGGCGAGAGGTGCGAGACATGAAGCTATTGGAGTAGAAGAGACGGCTACATTTAGTACTTTCGACAGTGAAGGGGCGAGAGCGGGATGCCAACCTCGTAGGACGCTTGAACTCATGAAGTCTGCGAACCAGGGAATGCAGCTCCTCGGAGCAATTGCCATGAAAGTATTTGTAAAACAGACAGAGAGAGTCGACGGTGAGTCTGTGAGAGAGTGACTGTAGACGGGGTGCCAGAACAGGGCCAATTATATTGCATATCCGCCTCTGGAGCCTATCAAGAACCCCGAGGCAAACAGAAGGGGCTCCAGACCATATATGGCAGCAATACTCCATGGAAGGGCGAATTGTTGATTTGTAGATCTGGAGGATCGATTCCGGGGAGAAAGATTTATATATATATATATATATATATATATATATATATATATATATATATATATAGATTTATATATATATATATGACATATACATGTTTAAAAATATGCATATTTAGTTAAAAACAAATAAAAGATCCTTGATAATAGCCGATAACCTAATGAAGCACACGGATATATGGAACAATTAAACAGTTTTTACCTATGCCACGTAGAACAATCTATACCGCTGGACGAAATTCCACTCACCTGAAGTAGGCCGGGGAGAACCACGCCCGAAACGTCGTTCACGTGACAATAACGATGACGACAACAGTTCGAAAAATGTAAAAAATTTTTACACACTAGAAAAGAAAACACTTATATGATCACAAGCAAAGAGTGAATACAAAGCTTAATCCCATTACCTTTTCTGTTGTCTTTTACGGAACTTGTATAAAAGAGGGACTGGTGTCTAGATAGATAGATAGATAGATAGATAGATAGATAGATAGATAGATAGATAGACGCTGTGTATGTATTGATATGATGTATGTATATGTGTATGTATATGTTCGTGCGGGTATGTGTGCGTATTGTTTTTGCACTTGGAAATTTTCCAATTGGTTTTTCTTACTGTATGGAATCAGGGCAAGCGCTATTCGACAAAACAAAACCTCGCTAAAGAAGAAATGGTGGGAAGGTTAGAGAATGGGGTGGCTTGTCTAAAGGTCAGGCGCTGATAGATTTCTTTTTTTTTTTTTTGTCTTTTTCGTCTTTTCCTTTTTACCAAAATCAGGCGTGTTTTTAGCAGATTTGGCAGGCGTTACCAACAAAACGAAAAAAAAAAAAATGGCGGGTATCGAGCTTCATCGTGGTTCCTCGTTCGGTTGGAAGGCATCGAATAACGCATCGGTCACGGAAGCGTAAATGAATTTAGAACATTACTTTATAAACTCGTCAAGCTGTGTTATATATTGATCAACCCTTTTATATTGGAATGAGTTGTTGTTTCTTTATCGAAAACTCTTGGAAAACCCAGGCCGCTAAATGAAAAATATGCTCTAAAAAATGATGCCTATTCAAACATGGGTATCCACGATCTATAACATATATAGTAATAATAAATAATATCGCACAATAGATTATAAAAAAAAGAAAGACATTAATTCCTTAAAAATGACATCATTTACATATCGGCCTCGAAAACGAAACAGATATGCACTTTACTTGGGTTAATTCAGCCATGTTTGTTTCCTGTGAAGGCCTATCTAAAAGTCTAGCTATATTGTGATAAAACACCTAGATAAGGTGGTGGGGGATGTAGATTCGAATATTTCCTGAGGGAATATTTTCTATATTAAAGAAATCTATAAAATACCAGTCTATCTCTCTCTCTCTCTCTCTCTCGCTATCTATCTATCTATCTATCTATCTATCTATCTATCTATCTATCTATCACTATTCATTAACTATCTCTTCATTATCTATGTTTATATTTATCTTACCCGGTTAGCAACTAGCCTATCTATCTTAGCCCCTTTATCTGTTCATATCAATGTCTCACTTTCTTTCTTTCTTTCTTTCTTTCTTTCTTTCTTTCTTTCTTTCTATGTCTCTTAAGATCGATCTATTTATGTATCTGTCCCATACTATGTATGTATGTATGTATCTATCTATCTGTCTATCTATCTGTCTGTCTCAGTCTCCTTATATCGATCAATTTATTTATCTGTGTCATTATGTTTATCTATCTATCTATCTATCTATCTATCTATCTATCTATCTATCTATCTATCTATCTCTTTCTTTTCTTGAATCTATCTATCTTGGTCCATTCGTATGTATGTATGTATGTATGTATGGTATTATAAGATACACGTCAACTGGCAAGCTTTTCAACATACGTAGTTTTGCATCAAAGAGAGAAGTCTTTTTTAGTTTAGTTCGAAACCTTCTTTATGCCGATAACTGTGACCTGGTTGCACACACATTTCAGCCAGCACGGATCGTGGATCGACTATCAGGGTCATGTAAGGCTTTTGGACTATCCATCAGCCTTGACAAGACAGTGGTGATGTATCAATCTGCCCGAGAATTTCACAATATAGTGCCACCAATGTTAGTCGATTTGGGGTAGTAGAAAAAAATGTTTACCTTGATAGCCTCCGATGCATTTGCAGCACTCAAGTTCGGTGTCTGGAGCCAGAAAGCTAAAAAAAAAAAAAAGCAGACAAAATTTAAAATATATAATGTCTGTGTTATGTCATCTCTGCGATATTCCTGTGAAACATCACAGACATTTGAAGATAATGGGACGTTTTCATCAACGATGCCTTCATTCTGTGCTTGAAATCCACTGGAAGTCCCATACCCTTGATACTGTTGTTCTACAAAGGGTCAATTCACTTTCTGTGGATGCAATTATACACAAATACAAATTGCGATGGACAGGACATGTTATTCGGATGGCAGATGACAGAATGCCAAAACAATTAATGTATAGAGAATTGAAAATGGGAAAAAGACCTCAGCACAAGCCAAAACTTCGTTACAAAGATTGCCTTAAAGAGTCACTATACAAGTGCAATATTGGTCTGGAAAACTGGGAGACATTAGCTGAAGACATGGTTTTCTTGGTGAGTTGGTATTGCTGATAGCATCAAGATCTTACATGAGGCATCACAAAAATATGCAGAACTGAAGATAGGGGTTTGGAAGGGATCCCTAAATTGTTATGAGATGTCAACCTGGCCATGTGTCCGATACACTCGGATATGTCTGTCCACGGCAGGTCTGCTCAGTCACCAATGGTCACACTAACATCAACAGTCTATTGCATATGACGATTTCGTAATGGCATGCTTTGAATGTCCGATTTGCACTACGGTGTGCAATCCAGGTTGGGCCAAACAAGGCATATAAAAAGACACATTGGAAGTGATGATGGTCAAAGTCAACTTCCACCACCCGGAGATAATTCCATATGGCACATATGTAATAAGAAATGCAGATCAATGGCTAGTTTTATGAGCTACTGTCGTTCACACAACTACTGAATGCAGTGTTGTTGCGGGCGGAGATTAACTGATGAACTGGACATGTCAGTGATGGTCATACTCGATTTGTGAGTCGACAGCCACTATACACTATGTATGTATGTATGCATGCATCTATCTATCTATCTATCTATCTATCTATCTATCTATCTATCTCAGTCTCTTAATATCGTTCTATTTATTTATGACTCAATCTGTTCATCTATTTATCTATCTAAGCTTCTGAATATCTATCTATCTATCTATCTATCTATCTATCTATCTATCTATCTCAGTCTCTTAATATCGTTCTATTTATTTATATCTCAATCTATTCATCTATTTATCTATTTAAGCTTCTGAATATCTATCTCTTTTTCTATCTATCTATCTATCTATCTATCTATCTATCTCTGTCACAGTCCAATCGTATCTATCTATGAGAGTTGTCGCAATGATTTTGAGCCGAAAGCAGCATGAAAATATCATTGTTTTATTTTTATTTTATTTTTTGACAAATACTTCTTATTTTACTAAAATATATTGCTTCCGCCGGCCATTCAAGCAGTCATTTGTTTTCAAGGTACCTATTCTCACGTCTACCCTTTACAAGCGAACGTTTGACCGATGTACAGGAAGGTTAGTCCTAATGGGAAACATTTCCCTGCAGCGAATTTGGTTCTAAACACAAAAGTAACAGTATCGCGATACATCTGTTTACAATTTTGATTTTCGTCACTTCTAGCTAATTCAAATAATTTTTGTTGAAAAGTTAATGGGACTGAAATGTAAATCATACAAGAATTGTCTGGCAGTTGTGAGTTCAATCCCTAGATTTGTTAGTGTCGAAAAGACGCATATTCTAGTTATGTGGTAAAAACAATCTGCTCAATAAAACTAGTGACTATTAAAAGCGGAATAAGAACGATTTACTCGACTGTGTAATGAGTAAAGAACCCGGTCCCAAATTCTCAGAAGCTGAGCCAGTACGGCGGCGAATACAAGCAGAAGGCTAGACTAATAATATTTAACAGCTCTCCCCACACCACGAGGGCTGTATGTGTCACAAGACCGAGTTTACCGTGGGTTTACCGTGGGTTTTCCGAGCCCGTAGGCTCTGCCAAAAATATTCCCTTAGAACCCGTATAAACAGGTTCAGGGCCTGTCTACCTCCCCGGACGAAACCTTGCCCTTCGGCAAAGCCTCGTCCGGGTTCCTCTCTGCCGAGGCATAGAGTTGAACAATCTGGTTGAATGTTCCCAGAAGGCTAGACTAATGAGATTTTCTAAGCGCTGCTTAGATGTGGCACAAGGCCAGAAGTATGGAGCACCCAGCGAGGATCGAACTCACTACTCAGTTGTAATTGTTCTAGCGAGACGAAAAGCTTGCTAACCATTACACCGCGCCGAGGTGCCCAGGCTAGACTAATCGCTATTTACTCGACTCCCACTAAGTCAAGATGTGACACAAGGTCGTTTAACGTGGGAGACCCGAGTGTTTCCACTCAAAGGCCACTGGTCCAAAACTGGTCATAGCAGATCCTAGTCAAAGCTGGTCATGACTTGTCCTAACAAGTCCCGGCCGGAGCCAGTCCAAGCTAGTCGAAGCCTTGATCGAATCTCAGCCATAGGCCAAGAAACGATCCAATATTTGCCCAGACTAGACTAATAAACAACGTGCAGCTCCGAATTGTAAGTTATAAAATTAAGTTTCTCTAAAGATTCACCTAAAATTATTAGCATACATGAGGAAAAATGCCCAAAATTTAATTAATAAAAGTTATATCTTAAAACAATTTTGTGTTATTATTAAGAGGAAAGACCATAAGATTTTTGATTATTTAATTATATTTTTTAATTCTTTTTAGAACCTTCAAAATTTTGGTTAATTTGTTTTTCTTGCGTCTGCAGGGGAGGGAACCAAATGATTGTATAGAAAATTTTAGCGTCTTTTTTTTGGCGGTGAAAAACACATTGATTTGGAAATTCTTGAAAAAATCAAATAATTGTCAGATTTTAATGAAACATTTAGGAATTGTTCACAAATGAATGAAATGATTTCAGAAAGATTTCTTTGTTTTAGAAAATCTCGATAAAAATATTTGTTACACCTGTTACTGCACACTTACTGGTGAAATTTTTGAGAAATTAATTTTAGTACGGCTTAATGTTTATATTAGTTATAAGCATATATCTTTGGAGAATTTAAACCGATTTTTTTTCTAAAACATTACTCACACATAACGAAAATCTGCTCTGAATCGTAAAATGAAAATGCAATAAAAATAATACACTAATTAATTAGAAATGCTTTTAATTCATTTTTTTATTACGATACATTGCAGACACTATTGTCTTAAGAATTTTTTTTCAGTGAACAATGAATTTTTACAAGAATGTTTTCAGTAGAAAGAATTATTTTCTCAAAGATCAATAGATTTGTCAAAAGCTCATACATACACCCTTCCCGTGTTAAAAATGCATTTCTGCCATATTATAAGGGAAATTAAGTAGTATTTGTTTCAAATTAAATGGACTAAAACTTTAAATCAGGTAACCTTTCTCAAATAATATTTCAAAAATGCATATCTTATGTTTTAAACATTTTATAAAAAAAATAGAATAACGCTATACTGAGAAAATATGGCTAAAATCAGCGATTTTTAACGTTTAAAAAACTCATTCCAATCAACATGCATTCGTCTTCAAATACAGCAAAGCATTTGCCTTACTGGAAATTTTTAATTTAATCCATTAGCTTCAAACTAAAACTAAAATAAAAGCTTCAAAAAAGATTTTTCATTTCTTTAAAAATTAATTTTAAACCTTATGTATCGCTTTTCTATGTAGGTACTTATATATACTTTGTGTAATTCCTCATCTCAAATATACCGACTTTGTTACAAATTTGTGTATATGTATATGGGGCTAAATTTCCTGGCAAATACAGTGTATGATGGATAAATTGTCGTCTGAATTACGCAAAAATTAAAATAACACTGTCAACCCATTTTAACAGATATATTTACCAAAATTACACAAAAATATCTGGAATTACTAAAGAGTGAATTTATTCAATATAATTGCTACTGGCTTCAGCAACAGCCTCCAGACGACATCGGAATCTCCTGTAACAACTTCTGGACGGTCTCCTTGTTTTTGTTGGAGAATGCCGCTATGATCATTGTCTTTAGTACATCTTTGGTGTTATAAGGAATTTTGTTGTTCTTTCGCTCAACTGCGCCCCACACATAATAATCTAGGATTTGCAGTCTTGGGAGTTGGGAGCCAGATATAAGAGGTGATATTGCCGAAAAAATTGTCTGACAACCATGACTGGGTTCTCCTGCTTATGTGGCATGGTGTAGAGTTCTGTTGTCAGACATAGGGTTTTCTAGCAGCCATTCTCTTAACTAAATCAATCAAGGAACTTGATGTAGCCCCCACTTCGTGTTGAGTCTGATGCTCTCACCAAAAAGTGTGGGAGTTCTTTTCTTATCGGAACGATCACAATGAGTTTTCGGAGCTGACGTACCGTCGTAATTACCATTAGACTAATCCACCTCTTTCCGAATCCCTTGTAATCTCCTCAGATTGACACCCCCAAACTCTGAAATGTTTATAATGGTGCTTCCGGTGAGAATACCAAATATTACAACATGCCGTTTCCAAATTTGTGGCGGAATGAATTGTGTTATGGCGTTCTTTTTCTCAAAGAATGGTGCCCAACTGACCCTATTATACTGTGCAGTCGACAAAATCAAAAACAAAGAACGCGCACGGTCGAAATTAAAAATATAAAATCGTGACAATTTACCCATCGCACCTGTATTAAGCTGAGTCATTAATAATTTCCAGTTTTGCTTATCCTTTAAAATCTAAAGTATAATTACCATTTTTATTCAATTATTTAATAACAACTACTTGAAATGACTTGTTATCAGGCAGCTCTTCCATACCATTTAAGTAAAACGCCATAGGTTTTGATGTGAAACAGTTTTCAACTAACTGGCTCTCACTATGGAATGGTTTTCCTAATCAAAGATTTATGCATCGATCGTAAAAAAAAGGTAATAATTGGCCAGGTTAATATAGTGGTTAATGAAGACTAGAAATGAGTTACCTGTTGCAGTTTTTTCTGTATATGTAAGTACTAGTGAGCTAGCCTAAATGAGCTGACTCCTTTTATAGTTTACCAACAGAAGGGTTAACCAATCAGAAAGCTCAAAATATTCAATGCGACGTGTATAAAGGCAGCCATTTTTTTCTCTCCCAAATTGTCTGCGCTGCCAACCTGATATCGAAGACTTCAAGAATTACTTAATAACCGCTACTTTCTTGTGAATCTTCACTGCCGACCTCTGATATTGAACAGATTACGGACTTCACTGGATTCCATATTCAGAGACTGCGGCAAACATGGTCAGCATTATCAATTTTTGATAGTCTCTCCACTTCATGCCAACTGAGAACGTTAACCCAAAAAGGATCAACAAGTCAACTTCCTGGAGGTTAGCATCAGCCATGCTGCTGGTAGGCAGAGGGGGATCTCTCAGAGGATTAATGGAGAGAAGTTTAGTTTTAGGATATTTAGTTTATTATTTTAGGATATTTCTCCTTGTTGCATGCGATCGACCGTTGTTGTGAAGATTTACATTTTCCGTTAATCCGCTGTGTATGCTGCTACTCCCGGGTAAAATCTGATGTATGTTAGCGTACCCCATATTTATTCTTAACAGCCACTTATGGTTAGAAGCTAGGATGATACATCAGTAAATAGAGCTGGTTCCAAAAGAAGAAGTTACGTATGATTGAACCTTATAATTAGCGCGAGTCACAGTGCTGAATAAAACACCTAAAAATAACATCTGAACAAAAAGCGTTTTAAGAACATCAAAACTGTAAATAATAGTAGCATTAATCTATAGAGTGATTGAAAATTAAAATATATATATTGCGTTCAAGAGTAGAAAGTAATTACCGTATCCTATTGTATTGTATTGTATTTGACATTGTATTTTATGATATGTGGTATTGTTGCATAAATTTGGAGTATTTTTATTATATGTGGTATTGTTGCCTAAAGTTTATGATATATGGTGTTGTTGCCTAAATTTTATGATATATGGTATTGTTGCATAAATTTGGGGTATTTTTATGATATGTGGAATTGTTGCATAAATTTTATGATATGTGGTATTATTGCATAAATTTGGGGTATTTTTATGATATGTGGAATTGTTGCATAAATTTTATGATATGTGGTATTATTGCATAAATTTGGGGTATTTTTATGATATGTGGAATTGTTGCATAAATTTTATGATATGTGGTATTATTGCATAAATTTGGGGTATTTTTTATGATATGTGGAATTGTTGCATAAATTTTATGATATGTGGTATTATTGCATAAATTTGGGGTATTTTTATGATATGTGGAAT